CATCTTATTCTCAATTTTTTCAAAATAAACATAAAATTTTCGCTATCAAAACATTAATATATTTAAAAGAACAAACTTTTCTGACTATTATGATGAATACAATTCGGGTGAGTAATCGTAAAAACGAGAATCTTGGTTATCCTCAACAACATTTACGTCTTTCGAGAGTAATATATATAAATTAAAACAATGTATGAATGGTCCAAACGGAATTGACCAGCAAATGTCGAAAAAATCCTTGGAGATATTGCACTTTCTAACGGATAATGTAGATTACTGTGATGATTCTGCCGTGTCTGACTACTGCAGATTTCAATATAAACATTTATCAAAATTCGATACATCTGATGACAACAATGTCATTCTTATTGGCAAATGCTATAGCGTAAAATGCGATGATAAAATGTATAAAGCATATAAAAAATGCATCGTTAGAGGCGTTGTATTTCACACCTGAAGTATCGCAAAGCGAAAAGAACGAACGATACAATGATTCAGTTACATTCAGGCGAATATGGTCAAATAATGCACATTATTCTATTAAATAATAAATGCCACGTGCAAATATCAAAAATTACGATTAGTTCCAATAAACCGTTTAAAGTGTCGTACATGGATAGGATAGAATCAGAAGATTATGTACATAGCTCAATAGTTCCCATAAGCGATGTCAAAAGCAAGCTTATTCACATAGATGTTGGATATTGTAGATATTTATGCAAACCTCCGAATACATTTGAAATTCAATAATAAATAAAACTTTGTAATAAATACAATTTTGTTTCTTTATTTATATATACACACAGTCAAATATAATTATAACAAAAATTTGATTTAATTGTATTATATCCGATTTCCTTTTCATCTGAAAAATCGGAGAATTTCAAATTCAAACGAATTACTGTTGCTTTATCACAGACTATATAAATTTGATTCTTATTGCATTCAAATCAATTTAGTTTTTATCCCCGAAATTGGTAAATTTTGGATTAAACCGGATTACAAAATCAACTCAATTATTAAAAGTGGATATTATTAAAACGGATTGAAATTGCATACGCGTAATCGCTGAATTTCGAATTAAAACGGATTAATGTTGTCTTTCCTACCAAATCGGATTCAGATGGATTACAACCGATTTTATTGAATCGGTGTTTTTGTAATTGAAACGGACTCATCTCTTGAAAAGAAATATACAAAATTAGGCGGATTATTTTGGATTATATATCCATCCGATTATTAGTGTTTATTTTGGATTGACAACAATATGGATTAGAATGTAATGATTTCGGATTGGAAATAATCTGCAAAAGCGATATCAAAACCCATTCTGATTAGTTTGGAATTAAAATCGATTACTTTTTAATCCGGGCGCGGATTGAACCGATTAAAACCGATTAAAACGGATTATGTTTTAATCAGTTTTAATCGAACATTTTCGGCAGGGTACAGACAGTTCCAGACCTGAGGATAATCTTTCCTGCGTCCGACTTGACAGGTGCAAAAGAAGACTTTAAGGTTATCCGTACGATGGCTTGGACGACGACGTCATCGCAAGTCTCGTAATTTAAGGATCCGAATACTGGGCTCCCTTACAAGAGCCATCGTGTTGCACCGTTCCGGCTAAGGTAACGCTGCGTGAAGTTGTGCTATTCGGTTTAATTTGATCAATAACGTTTCCTGTGTTTCCAATCAGTAATGTACCCTCGGTAAATAGGTGCAAGCATCGTTGATAAGGGGTCTCCATTAAGTATTCGGACATGCCGCTCTTTACAAATGAAATGTGTGAGTGAATTCCACAATAATGGATAGTTCTAAGTATCTCCACTTTGCATTGCAGGACTTCAGCATAATCATAGTCAGACAGTTGGAGTAGCTGGATGTACGTGTTGGTGGAGTTTGGCGTTTGCTGGTTGAGGTTACACTCTCCGGCTCCGAGTAGCGACACGGACGTAATGTTGAGATGTTGTCCTCCACAGTCGAATCCAATAAGGTAAAGGACGTAAGTGGGTAAGCTTAATGCCAGGATTATACTAAACTTCATTTCTGCAACAATATTTCAACTGACCTTTTTATTAATTGTACATTACATCTATCTTACTCATCTCTAAGTCCTTTTTTCTTTTTATTTTGTTATTTTATGTTTTTTTTGTAGGTGCAGATAGGATCTGCCTAATGTAACGCGACTACATAACTAAATTATAGTACGCTTGGGGTTAGTATGGTAACTATAGATGTTAATAGCTTAAGCCTTCGGCTAAGGTTAGTAATTGATCTTACATTAGTGTACATGGTTATATATATAGTTATTCTTCGGAGGAATCAGTCAACATGAACGCTCCTATGTTTTTGTTCGGAATATTGTAAACGAGTCGGGCTATCTCTTGTTGATAATGTCCGCTTTCTCGCATGATTTCGATTATTCTCATGAATCCGCCCAAGCATTCCGAACAGGTAGCCGCGCAGCAAGTTCTTGTCATATCTGATCCACATCGAGCACAGATGGTGCGATTGATGCGACCGTAAATCAAATAGTGAGTTTCTTTTACGTCCCATTCTGATTCTGACAAGCCAACCTTTTCGTAACATGTCAGGCACATGCGACCGGGATATTCTTTTAATCGGAACTCCATCGTGCGACAACATTTACTACGATACAGGGTAGTATAATTTTTCAGAAGTTTATGGGGGCTATAAATATATGCCCATGGTGGACACATTTTGTAAATATCAGGGGATATATCAACGTTATAATTGAGAGTAGCTAAAATATAAGTTACGTATATTATATAATACTACGTGATATTATAATATAACGGGGTCGCTTTGGCGAATATAAGCTCTGTTCTACTCTCGCGACGGCAGTACCGTAGTTGGTTCGTATACATGCGGGATTCAATCCAGAGACATGTACATCAATGCCTTGGGCAGATAATGTTATTCACCTAGGGTGTTTGGCGACCTAGATAGAGTAATAGTACTTTAAATATAGAAGAATACAGAATACCTTAAATTTCTATTGTACTTAAAAAATAAAATATAATATAGATGGCATTATCCATGCTGGGTAGGTTGAGTGGATGATTGTTGATTATTAATAATTATAAGATAGTCGTTCAACACGTCATAAACAAAGTTAACGTAACGGACATCAGTATTCTGATTTTGAAAAGAGTTTACGAGTTTAGTATATGCTGCTATGCAGGGGACGCAACGAGTTATAGGGACATTTGGGACAAAAATGGCTCCCGTAGGGGCCTCTCACAAGGCAATGACTCATTATCATGTCATACACTAAATTACTGGCTGGTATACCCGCGTTAGCCTCCATATAGCAGTCCAAACAACAACAAGTGTGAAGCATTCTGTCCCAAACGCGAATTGTACAACGGCGCCGGATAGAGTTAGGAATTGAGATTTCGGTGATCGCAATGTCGTGATTCATGGTTATACTCGGGTGCCACTTAGGGACGGCTTTAGGATTTATATAGATCTAAGACTTTAATATAGTCGCAGACGACGTCGTATTGTATCGCAGCTAATTTATCAGGATTATAATTTTTGTTTCTAATCAATTCGACAAGCATTAGGAAGGAGGACACGCATTCGCTACAATTAATGGCTTCCGATCGGGAACGCGTGAAACGCTTACATTGGCTGCTAACGGGTGATTTAGAAACGTTCAATGACAAAACGTGATAATAGATAGACTCGAATGTATTAGGTCGGCCTGCTTGGTTATAGCAATCCTCGCAAATAGCGAGAGCTCTAGACCGGAGTCGTATAAATCCCTCTGAGCGAGTACAGATACAATGACGTAAGAGGGAAGACAGATTGTGATTTCTTCTCTGCACGTCGGACAACGTAGTTGGTTGTACGGTCCACGCACGAGGTCGTGTGTTACGAGGAAGTGGAACTGACCACCGTAGGGCGACAGCTGTGAGGTATCCCTACAGCTGAGGCACTCAGTTGTGTCAGTTGCCGTATTATAAATCCTCAAGGTGTTATAGCAAAAAAGTTTAAATTCTTCCACGGACATTTATGATCCGATATAACGTTTTGAGCTCAGCTCGGCTGGAACCTGAAAAAAATAAATGTTTTTCATCCTGGATCAACTAGAGCTAGTTTTAACTTATTAGTGTGAACTAATCGTGTTCTGTCTCCAACTTGTATTTTTGCATTATGGTTATCGTAGACTTTCAGAACTAAATGGGGACCGGTATACTGATCGGCGAATTTACCTTTTCGAGGTTTCTTTAATAAGAATATGTAATCTCCGGGCTCAAAGTGAACAACATTAGCACGACGATCATAGTATCGTTTACTTCTTTCTTTAGCTCTTGTCAAATTCTCGCGAGCTTTAGCTTGAATATCTTTGATTGTGTCAAATAGATCGATCAGGTATTGCGGGTAGGTAAGGAGAGTTTTCTCTTCTAACGGTGGATGAGAGGAAGGTAATCTAGGTAGTCGTCCGAAAATCAATTCGAATGGAGAGTATTTAGTTCCCTCGTGTACACTAGTATTGTAAGAGAACATAGCTAAAGGTACCTGATCATCCCAGTCTTCTCTATCATTGACTCGAACCTTTAGGTATTCGGTTAATACGTGGTGTGATCGCTCGATTGACCCATTACTCTGAGGGTGATATGCGGTGGTTTTATAGTGTTTACTACTAAATTGGCGAGTTAAATGTCTTATTAAAGCTGATAAAAAATTACTTCCTTGGTCGGTTAAAATTGCTTTAGGAGTACTATAAATGCAGACGAAATGGACAGCAATGGCTTCGGCTATAGTTCTAAAATTGGTTTCCGAAATAGGGATAGCAAGGGAATACTTTGTTAATAAATCTTGTATTGTTAGAATATATGAATTTCCTTTTCTTGTCACAGGTAACGGTCCCATGATGTCCATTGAAACCTTATCGAACGCGGCGCCAGGAGTATCAGTTATTATCATAGGTTGACGGGTCTTGACTCTCGTTAATTTTTTCAACTGACAGGTACGACATCTTGAATGAATTCACTAATATCTCTTTTCATGGTATTCCAATAGAAATGTTGACGTAACCTATCGTATGTTTTAGTAACTCCCTTGTGGCCATCAATAGTTGAGGAATGATATTCAGTGATCAGAGGAATTTGTTCTTCTACCTCAGGACTCCGTATAAGATTACGACAGATCGTGACGATGATTCGGGTATCTTCTAAATATTTAGTCAATTGCCTAGATATATAGGACCAAGGAATATCGTCGAAGACATGTGTTTTCCTGATTCGAAATGACGTTAGTTGCAATTGAATGACTACGTCTTTGAGTAATTCTATACAATTTTTTATATCTTGTGCTTCAAATGGGGTGGAACAATCAATTTTGATAGGTAGGGAGATCAAATAGGTGGAGGTTGAGGGGTGAGACATTAGCGCGTGCATGAGTTAGGTGATCATAGTGTGGAAGTAAGTTGATTTCTTCGAGTTCTTTCGCTCCATCGTCGAAAGCAGTTCTGTTCATTTTGATAAATATAACCAGATTATCTTTTCACCGCAGTAGTGATTCTCGAGAATTTACAAAATTTGCTCTAACGGGTGGTTGTTCTCCTTCCGCCTTATCTCCAGGGATAAAGAGAGCTTCGTTGAAAGCGTCATCGTCATTTTCGTTGCTGTCATTCTCGTTATCGTCATTGTCATCACTACTGTCTTCTTTTTCCGATCTATTTAATGGCTCTGTTTCGAGGTTCGAATCTTCTCTTCTCGCGTAGCTGATTTCGCACCGAATTCTAAAATGAGGGTCTCCCTGTTCGTCAAAGTCGTCTTCGATATCTATATTACGATTTGATCTTGAAGGACCGGCTTCTTCATTATCGTTATTGATAGTGGGATTAACTAATCGATTTCTGCAGTGAAGTAATTCAAAAGAGAATAATGTATCGTCATTCGAGTCCTCAGGTTCGGTAATTATAGGCTGAGTAGTTACGGGTAATACTATTGCAGATGGAGGATTTCGCGAGAGGGCATCAGCGTTATTATTTAAACATCCCTTTTTGTATCGAATTTCATATTGATATTCGGAGAGTTTGTTTCTCCATTTCCAAAGGCGCGATGTAGGATCTTTAATTGACTGTAACCAAGTTAACGGTTGATGATCGGTTACAATAGTAAAAGTTTTGCCATACAAGTAAAATCGAAAATGATTAACGCAATAAACAATGGCTAAACATTCCTTTTTTACGGTAGAATAATTTTGTTCTGCTTTGTTTTGTATTCTCAAAACGTATGCTATAGGTAATTCTTTTCCGACTATTTCTTGACTCAATACGCCGCCGATAGCATATCCCGAGGCATCCGTCGTTAACACGAAAGGTTTAGTGAAATCTGGATATTGTAGAATTGATTCTTTACATAACGAATCCCGTAAAATGCGAAAGGCGTTTATCTGGGTTTCCCTCCAAACAAATGGTTTATCCTTTTTTAATAGATCAGTTAAAGGTTTCGCAGTTTTCGAAAATTGGGGAATGAATCGACGATAGTATCCGGTGAGGCCTAAAAACTGTTTTATATTTTTAGCGTTAATTGGTTGTGGGAAATTTAGTAATAGCGTGAATTTTGTTAGGATTAGATCTTACGTCGTTTGCTCCGATTATATGGCCAAGATACGCTACTTCCTTTCTCAGGAAATTGCATTTATCCGGTTGTAATTGTAAGTTGGCTTCTCTTAATTGTTTCATTAATCGCTCCATTTTTACCTTGTGTTCTTCTAAGGATCGTGCATATACCACGATATCGTCCATGTAAACGAATAGCTCATTTCCTTGCAGGCCCGATAAAACAGTATCCATTAAACGTTGAAATGTCACGGGGGCGTTTTTAAGACCAAATGGCATTTTCTTAAACTGATAATGACCGTACGGTGTTGAAAAGGCTGTTTTGGGAGCATCGCGGGAATCCATCGAAATTTGGTGAAGTCCTGAGGCGAAATCTAAAACAGAAAAATATTTGGCGCTACCTAATTGGTCTAGGATGTCAGTGATATTAGGGAGCGGATACGCATCGCCTATTGTTCTTTTATTCAAATTGCGGAAGTCGATCACCATTCTCCATCTTTTATTCCCAGCGGAATCTGGTTTCTTTGGGACTATCCACACTGGTGAATTATATGGTGAGCTCGAATATTCGATGATATCTTTATTCAACAAGTCGTTCACTTGCTTATCTAACTCTTCTTTCTGACTGGGCGGAAAATGATACTGTTTAGTGTGTATAGAAACTTTGTTAATGGTTGGTATGGAGTGTCTAGCAGCGTTAGTGCTTTCTAACGGATCGTCAGGCAGATGAAATCTATCATGAAACTTTGTAATTAATTCCTTTAAATTCTCTTTTTCTTCAAGATTGAGATGCTCTGCATTGAGAAGTTGCGAGACTTCCGCAACTCTCTCTTCAGTGTGATTATCGCGATGAACGGAATTTGACGACAGCCTTAGGGAATCGTCAGTACCGCAGGAAGGAGTAAGCGAAACCATGGGAATAGGTTCTGCCACTTCGTACTTTTCAACATACTCTCGTCTTATAGGGATTACAACGCTTTCTGACTTGGATAGAGGATTCTGGGGAGGATTTCGCGGTGACGCAAGCCCTAGGAAAGCATCAAGGCTAGAGGTTGTCACTAGATTTTCTCTAATGTCGAATTCTTGCAGTTCCACTGACGGAACTTCTATATCGTATCCGTCGTCGTTGGTGTTGTAAAGGGGGAGGTGACACCTCCCATCAATATTTGTAACAATAGCGTTACCAAAATAAATTCCCTTAATGGATTCTAAAAAGGGAATATATCCTGTCTTCATCTCCGGGTTAGTGACAAAGGCATAAAATGGTGTTACAGATCGTGGTTCTACATGAATATGTTTAGATTCGGCAAATGGAATGCAAGAATCATCATATTGCAAGTATTTTTTTATTAAAGTTGATAATAGCATCATATTTCTTGAAAAAGTCTGTCCCGAGGATGCCATGCTGCATAAAACCGATCTCTTCATTTACTAGATGAAAATCAACTATTTTTCCCAACAAAAGTATTGAAATGGATCCCAATGTAAATGTAGGTTCTGCGGTTATACCTTGCAGAGAAAATATGTGGTTTCTATTAATTTCGATCCCGTCTTCTACACAACTTTCTTTGATTAGATTAATGTCTGAACCTGAGTCGATCATAAAGAGACAGTTTCCTATTAAATCGGGTGATGAAAGCATGACATTCGGTGACTCACCAACTCTACTTACTTTATTTATCCGCGCAGTAACGGAGTCTCTGCGATACTCTGGAATTGAACTGATTTTTTATTTTGATTCATGTGCCCAGTCACGGTTGTGTTCGGGCGGGCACCGGCTTATTGCCGGAACGCTGTCGGCGTTTCCCGGACTCTTTGTTGGTAAATTTTGAAAGTTTTGATTTTGTTTAGGTCCAGAAATGTTCGAAGATAATTGTTGCGAAGGATTATTTTCGTATTGAGCTTAGACGGAGCGACGGTAGGCTAGTTTTCTGCATTCATCAATGAGATGTCCAGGATCTTTACAATATTTGCAAATCTTACCGGTCGGAGCATTTGGTCCAGGCTAACCAGGGATTAACGGTTTAATAAATGGGCGCGTAGGATTTTGCAGGATTTGTGGATTAGAAGGTTGTGCGCGATCATTAGGGTAATCCATACGAGGGGGAGGGTTTGGTTTTGCAGTGGTCATTCTTTTCTTCAGTAATTTTGTTTGTAATGTAAGTTGTATTGCGGATGAAATTGCTTCGTCAAGTGAGTATGTCTGTCCTTGCAATTTTACTCGAATTAGCAAGTCGGAAGGTAGTCCGTTTATGAAACCTTCGCGGCAATCATTATCAATATTTTGTAAATCCACGTTTTCCTCTCCATAAAGGAAGGTTTCTCCATCGATTATAGCATTTCGTAATTCTTTGATTCGATCTATGTACGCAAAAATGTCTTTGTTTGGCTGCATATAAATATTACCAAGTTCTCCTCTGTACTGATTTAAAGATTTATTAGAACCGAAAATAGTTTTGAGATGGCGCGTTAAGGAAGCGACTGTGTAAAAATTCATACCTTTTACAGCTGTATAGGCATGATTTTGTAAGCGATTGATAATTAATTGGACCAGTTGATATTCCTATCTGGGGGGTATCATTTTAAGTGCACGGTCGCACATTCTACAAAATTGATAAATAGGTATTTTGTGTCCATCGAATCTAGAAATGGAGTCTACCACATCTTTGAGACGCATGGCAGGTTGTTCGTCCACGAAATCGTTATGGGTTGAGAAGAACGTTTCATTAGAACGGGGAAGATTATCGCGAGTGGGTGAAGCTATACTCTGACTTACGATTCGCGACTGTAATTCGTTCATGTGTGTTTTTAAATTTTGTACTTCCTCGGGAACGGAATTTAATTTCCCGAGTTCTTGCCGAATTCCCGCTAATATACTAGCAAGTTCTTGAACGTCAGGTTTAGTTTTAAGCAATTTTCATTCTTCCTCTCTTGCTTCGATTTCCTGTTGTCTCCTCCGTAAAGCATCCGCTTGTTCGGAGAAAATCTTTTCTTTTTCAAGTGCTCGCTGAAGCACGGTATCTGGGTCTCCGGTAGTCATTTTGTCGTCTGTTTCGAAAGGGGTACGAGACGTTTGCGAACGAGTAGTGTACGGTGATCTAATCATGTGTACGAATATTAAGGTCTCGAAATTTTCACAAAGCTTTTCCTTTCCTGGTTCCTATAACGATTTCCAATCCCACCGCTGCCACCAATTTTTATATGTTACGTCACGATTATTGGACAAATGTACAGATCGATATAAATCGCGATATACACTGTACTTTTCTTCTTTTAGCACTACTACCTCGGCGTAGTGAAAAAAAGCCTCTCCTTTGTTATTTCGGGGAAGTCTGCATGCACCGACTATATCCCGGGACTGGCGAGAGATGTCGTTATCGGAACGGTGCGTGGAAAGGAGAAAGAGAATCTTATTCTACAATAATGGTGTATCACACAGGAGTAATTGGGGACATTTATTTGTATCTTTATTCTGTAGCCGGAAACCGGCTGTTGTTTTGTGACACGGGATTTTGAGGAATAAATTGTTATCAAATTTCCTCGTTGTACAATGTTATTTTTCAGTAGTAGATAAGGGAGGAACGGAAAAAGGGGTGATTTATATTACTTGCGAATATAGAGATTAATACTGAATTTATTAATTCAATCTGGTGTTGATACAGTCTCCACAAAATAGGAGTAAGGAGTACAAGGTTGTTATTTCGCTTGATTATTAAAATTAGACTTACTGTTATCACGCTGGCTTTTACGGAAGGAGCACCTCCTAATTGCGTCAATCAACCCTCGGGAACAAAAGGCCCCAAACTCGTCAGTCAGCCGGAGCAGTTTCGAGATGAAAAGTTCACTGACATTAGTTTAAGAGACAAGAGTCGATGCTTATGATTCGACAATTAATTAATAAAGACAATGAGCATAATGCGCTCCGCTCCGACTAAGTACGTGTTTTTTATAGTGGTAGATTTGAATGCTGGCTGAATTTGTCATGTTCTGATTTGCTAATGAACGAATAGAGATGGTAATTATGGGAGGCTTCTATGGCTTCCATTGGTTAAAATTAATTCCTTCTAGAAGGTTCTAAGGACGCTTTGGAGAGAGTAAAAGGATGCACTTGAGTCATACTGCATTAGCTCTCAACTGGTAACCTGATTATTTTTCTCGCGCTATCAGTCGGGCGCTTCTTCACCGAGAGGAAACAATCCTTTTTCATCCTTTGATTCTTGCCGGTATTCTGGGTGGTACAGCCGAGGCGTGTTTTAAATTATTATCGATCGCATTATAGGTGGCTGCGACGTCTTAGTGAATCATCGCATGGTGAGGGGCGGCTGCAACGTCTTGGTGAATCATAGCGAAGGTTAATATTAATACGAAAGTGCAAGGTTTACGACAAAGACAGTTATAATTGACCGATTCTAAAGAGTTTTGAAAAAGGGAATAAAATTTAATTTGCGTGACGTCACAGCACATTTTATTATCAAGGCGATAGCTGCCGCGTTCGAAGGTTCGATTGATGTACTGCCTATAACAAAGGAAAACCACGAGTACATGTCTTCTCTGTACCGCGACTCGTGTAGAATCATGTATACCGACACGGACAGTCTGATTTATCATATCGAGTGCGATGACGCGTACGAGAACATGAAACGTGATATAGTCAGTTTCGACACAAGTGATTACGCGGTAGATAACGCGTATAGTATGCCACTCGTCAATAAAAAAGTGCCGGGCCTGATGAAGGACGAAAACAACGGGGCCATTATGACCGAATTCGTTGGATTTAGGGCGAAAATGTATGCCTTGCGAGTCAATGGTAAGAAAGACACTAAAAAAGCGAAAGGTGTCAAAAGTAACGTTATCGCGCGCACCATCACATTCGACGACTACACGCGGTGTCTAAACGATGAGATCGAAATGACTCGACCGCAGTCGTGCGTAAGATCGAAAAAGCACGAAGCGTACACTATCAGCGAGACGAAAATCGCTCTGAGTCCGTATGACGATAAGCGATATATCGTGCCGGATTCGACCGATACGTTGCCGTGGGGACATTACCGAATATAACGTAATGTATATAATGTATATAATGTATATAATGTATATAATGTATATA